CATTAATTTTAAACTTTCAGTCATGAATAACATAGAAATGCAGAACTTTAATAAAGAATGCCTCATTGTCTGTTATTTGCAAAGGTCAAAATCGGGATAATTTCTCACATTATTTTCCATTAACCCAACAAGTACCCACAAGTATGCTTTCTTCTTGGTTAGGCTCTTCCCCTTCGTTAATTCAGAAGGTGTTTTGGCATTTTTTATTCTTAAATGTCTTAAAGCACACGCGCCGTTTTTGCATTTGAGGGTTGATATCAAAGAGCTCTTCATATTGTATCTGTGTATCTGTTAACAGAATGTCACAACGTGATTTAGTAAATTGAATTCGATTTTTGCGATACCATATTGAAGCGATGACACTGGTAAAGATAAAAAGTTACCTCAATTGAGATAATGTGTCCTTCTGTTCATTGCTAAACGTAAGAACAAAAGTTATTTTTCTTCATACTTTTGTCATTGTTAATAACTCCCAGAGCTTGTGGTATGACTTCCGATATTAATAATTGTTTTCAACCGTCGTCTGCTGAGGCTGCAGCTTAGATTTCTTTTTCATGTTGCCTCGTACATTGCAACAGAAAGTTTATTCTTGATTTAAAGTATTAGCGTTTCAATGAAGTAAATGCAACCTGAATTGAGTCATTCTACCAGGAACGCTCCATAGAAACCTACCGTCATTCCAACCATTGCATCGATACACGTCTATTGGCTATCAAATCGCGTGTGCCACTTTCATTTTAAAAGATTCGTCTTCTCTACATATAGTTTCGGACTTAATCATATCTTCATAAACTTTCTCTAGCCATTTATTTAAGTTTTTCATTTCTGTTTACCGATCTTCTAAAATGTTTTGTTACATCCATACCAATAGTTCCGTGTTAACTCTGATGGCGTTCCTGCTGTGCAAATTGTAAACGTTATTTAGCCTCTTCAAGTTCGACCAATAGATCAGAATATGTATTCCTTCACAATCGGATCAAATCTCTTTTTTTTTGAGTAAAAGCCTATCAGTGTTGATAGAAGTAACTCATAGAAAACGATTCGGTTGTAATGTCTTTCACATAAAGCTGGCAATATAAAGTGCACCTCACTTAACAGTTTCTTAATTGCCCACATAACCCGAGAAATACAGAATGCCAGTTTTTACTTTTTTGATGTTATAATTTATTATAATTCACCTTTTTAATGTACATTTTTGCAAAAATGTAGACGACGTCGATATCATAGCTGTTATTATTATCATAAAGATCAGTCTAAATTGAAATTATACGCGTGGCTTATCCGCAGTAAATTCCCATTGTCCCACTAGTCGTCACCCCTTACATATCCAAAATGTCTTGTTCTTATTATTATTTATAGAAACCAATTATGACAATATGTCATAATGGTTTTCTATTGATGTAAAGACTTATTATCATTATCGCTATTATTAGTATGCATATGTATAGCTTATTATTATGAGCAGTATTACGTCATGTTGTTATATTATACTAGACAATATATTGGTTGAGTTTGACAGTTCAGTCTGTTAAAATACGCTGGCTTATCCGCAGCAAATACCCCTTACCCCTGATTGAAAAGATTTTTTGTCTTGTTCTTACTTATAGAAACCAATTAGAAACCAATTACAACAATTGCAATAAATATTATGTTATTATCTCATAACACGTTCACTGATATTGTGCCATAATGTTTTTCTATCGCAAAGAATTAGTCTTCATATTTATAGCTCATTGTTATCAGTAATATTACGTCATGTCGCGTATGTTATACTTAGACAATATATTGTTGAAGATTGACAGATAGATAATAACACAACATTTATAAGGCTATTAAGTACAAGCATATGTCATATTCCATCATCCAAGAGGTAAACACGCGTCTCTAGTTGTACATACATATATATACCCAGACGCTTTTATCGCTTCACTACAATTTTTCAACGACACTACAGTTTTAAATTATTGCGATTGCTTGATGTTTTCTCAGCGAAGCAATAATATTCTTAATGGATATGTCTAAAGCGGAGCAGATCCCTCGCAATTCCATTGGTCAGATTTGTATGGCAGCCAATAAAACTGCAAACACACTCTTCTTTCTTCTTTTTCGAAGGCAACAATGGTAGGCTCTATTGTACAATACAATGCAAATGTGTTTAAATTTAAAACTAACAAGTTTGCGTCTTTCCAGGCACAACAACAATAGACACAACAGCAACCTGACTTCAACAACTTGTCTCATCTTCTAGGTGATGGTAAAGCTACTGACAAATCAGTAATTTCCACTCCCATGGAAATCAGTTCCCCCCATCTTCCGAATCAGATCTCGACAATATTCTAAGCAACATGAAGATTCTATTCATGATACCTCACAACTCACATTTCTTCGATAATCGGTGATAACACCAACACCAACAACTTACCAATCATAAATCTGCAAATTCAGCTTAACGCTATTGTGCTGAATAAAGACTTCGAAACCTCAGCTTAACGCTATGCAAACTCAGCTTAACACCATGCAAAACACCATGCGAACTCAACTTAACTCTATACATACATGCAATAGCTAAATTACAGTTACTCTCTTCAGACGAAATAATATAAGGGGGTAGCCATTGTGCAACTATGACGTGATTTTTGAGATTATAAGCCATGGTACCTGCAACGATTAGGTAACAGAAAATCGGTCACGAGGATTTCAGCATCAGCCGTGACATGATATATTATTTAGAGACATGCGAGGTTATGCCAGAGCATTAAATTCACGCGTTAATGATTCCGCTGCGATTATTCGACCAATACCAAATTTACAAAATCAGATGCCGGACACTTTTCCAAACAACATCTCGCGCAATTTCATGGATTAAAACAACTCGATACAAACAATATTATTAGCACTTGGATTAAGAATCTCATAACCCCAACATTGCTCTTCTTTAAGTTATTCCTTCGATAAACACAAATATCTTTTTTGAACACCTGTTAGTGTAACCCGCTTTATTTACTAATTATACTTTTATTGTTCATCTGTTTTTTTTATTGTTGCGAACGAGAGTAAGAATTTATGATAAAAGCATCAAAATTTTGATTAATTTGTTTTAATTTAATTGATATGATGTTCTGTTCGATAAAATGATTACCAATTATGGTGATGATTTGCGCACTTTGTTATAGCGAGCTCGTTTTACTAAGCCTGGTTTTATATAAATCGCACAAAAACATCATTATAACGTTATATCGCGATATTATAAGTATCTTTATTATACAGGTGGTATCAAAAAGTTTGTGAATTTTGTAAATACAATAACTTTTTTTCAAAAACTTTTTATTTTTGTATTTACAATATAAGTACTCATGCTGTTTAATTAAGTTGAAGCAAAGTAGTTGGACTTTTAAAAAAAAAGAAGATAGGACAAAATACGCAATTGTTACAACACTGCAGTCTAATAAAAGTGCTGTTGATTTACATAAAAATTCACAAACTTTTTGGTACCACCTGTAGCTAATTTGGTTCCGGGGGAAAGCATCATATTAGGCCACTTCATCTTATCGGGGGATCATTATATCGAGAGTGACTGTGTATTGAACTTCATTTCACTCATCTCTGAGTAAGGAATCCATCTAAAGAGGATTTTTTACTGCTAAAACTAACGACATCGTTTCTGAAGTAAAGATTTCGAGGAGCTCACTTTTTTATGCAATTGCTTTTATGCCAATAAAGGCTCAAAACCTCACTTTTTATGCTGCATATTTGACCTTTTCGTGTCTGCTTTGTTACAGACTAAGATTCGAGACGAGCGCATACCAATAACTTTTATCAGATGCTGATTGCAATTATGTACGTGACTTTAGCTAGTTTCCTCGGGCAAACGACATGTAACTCTAAGATGAATGCGATAGGTTATTTTTTATTATGTTGGCATTGTCGTAGATTTGAATATTTCTGCAATCGAAAAATCCTGACTGACTTAATAGGCGATTAACGTTGCGTAAACAATTGGAGGTATTTTTTTCCGCAGCTGCCAAGTTAATGTGCTCTCATCAACATTTGGTAGTAGAAACCAGTCATCGTACCACCGATACATTGGATGCTATAGAGAAGTCAGAGGTTGATTGCTAGTTTGAAGCATCCTCATTGATATTAGTTACATTTACTCGCCTGCCTTTGTTAATTGGATCATGCCTTATAAACTCAAGTGCTTCATTATCTTAGGTGTGAGCAAAAGCAGGGAATGTTGATATTGGGGCGGGAAAGCATGAAAAAGTGGCTTGAGTGCAAGGCCGAATTTGGCAAAACGTCAACTTAAATCAAATTTTAAATATGGCATATCGGTGCTAAGAACACCAGCCAAATCAATAGCCCGTTTACTATTTTGGACTTGCATCAGGCTTAGTAATAGACACAATACAATAATGTATTGTTATTTCCTCTTCTTCCTTTCATAGTTTGTAAGCAAGGTTCCTTTGTTAATTATGTGGATATTAAAGCACTCGTCGCTGCAAGTTCTGAAGGATAATTTTCTTACTTCAAAAACATTAGTAGTTCAAGTTCATATGTAAATTTTATACGAAGTTTAATCCCACGATAAAAATTTATCGAGATGTCCCTTTTGTTTGTACCGAATATCTAAACTCCTAATATATTATTGTTATGACAAGTAAATACTGTGCTAATTTCGAATTAGTTAATACTACCGATTTAGCTAGCTGAATAGAAAACTACGACGCTAACAAAACGGTTGACAAAGAGCCATAATCCATCCTGTACACTCCCGGTAGAAATTATAAAGATAATCTAAATCTAACCCTCTTCTATCAATATTCTCATATTGACGTATTATATATGAACTAAACAGCGAGGTCCCTGTTGTTGCTATGCTAATTCATAATCCTTGAAGCAATTGAATTCCAGCTCAAAGTGAAACGGCTCACGTATAAAACTCATTTACACTTTGTCACAAGATCGTCCTAATTCTTTATGTTCGCGACCCCCACACCCTCTCATATACCACCAAACCCAAAGCCGATTAAAATAACCCATAACAAACATCCTGCAACTACCGGAATGACAAAGTTGTCATCCAATCCCCAGACATCAACTAGCTCACTCGACCCCCCAATAATCCCAGTCAACAGAATCAAGACGGGCAATGACAACACGCTCTTCTCGGGCTGCCAGCTGGGCGTTCGGACGATGTCTTTATGATCTATCCAACCACCCCAGAACACGTAAGCGGCCAAGCATCCAGTGAGGATGGCACCCAATGTCCCTGCCACCGATTTACCACTCGAGAATTTATACGTCAAATGTCCAAATGCACGGCCAAAGCAAGAAGCAGCGGTGTCACACCAGGATAGAATTAAGATTGATATGGCCGCTATATCCTATAACATATAAAATGGAAGAGAATAAACGTAAGAAAATGCAAGAGAAAAGCAAGAGAAGGCGAAGGGAAAGGAAATGTTCGATATGCATATGTAAACACACATGTATAGTGTAAATCTACTAAAAGAATTATAACACAGCAAACAAAAACTTTACAATTCCACACTGCTCGCTCTCACTCTCGCTCTCTCCCACTGATTTTTACCTGAGGAAATATCGATAAAACCAAAATACACCCAGCGAGATAGAACACCACTCCGTTGATCTTGTCACGTTTCTCGACCTCTCTCATAAGAAATCCAAATATCTTGATGTATATGGTATTAAACCATTGGATGTTGAAGCGAAGGAGATCCGCCGTTATTCCCATGACGAACAAGATAGCGAGGACATTTCTGATTGCCAAGGCATCTGCGTGCGTGGAGTATAAGTAAAGAACTGGAAAGCCTAAAGAGGGATAATGTTCAATTTGTAAGCAAAGTTGTAAAGATACGGGATAATAAGAGGAGAACCATTTAATGCAGCTCAGCCCATTATCTGCAACAACCCAACCAAACATATCCTTCACTTCCTCCCTCATATTACTGATAAATTCTGCCACTATTTTTTGAGAACCCAACTGCCCTAGTTACCTATTGACGAATGAAACAATTTCCTCGGTATTTCCCAAACGTTTTTCTTTTGTCCGATGTTCTTCACAGTAGGAGACACCGGTTTATCATGTCTTTTCTTCTGATTCCTCTTGTGGAGTGCAAGATTCTTGTGGATAGCCATTTCCCACTTCTTTTTGTTTCAATACCGCACGACCGAGGAGTGACGTATACAGAGAGATATGATACAAGGAATATAATGTCGGGTATAAATGAGAGACATCAACTGACAGAGAACTGAGCGTCAAGGAAAAATCGACGGAGCACAAAGTTCTGTATCTCGAGGGGACTAGAGTATATAGGGGGATATTCAGGTATGACAAGTGACATGTGAGATAGTGTGAGTCGTTATGGCTATTAATAAAGCAATAGGAAGGTACGAAACCTTGACAAAATTTTATTTACTGTTATTGTTATTTATTTTATTAGTATTGTCATTTATTTAAAAATAACAATTTGATTGGATGGAACGTAAATAATACATTTTATAAGCTCTTCAAATGGAAATACTCATACTGTAACACACATGTGTTGCCCCAACCCAAAATTATAATAGTAGCACGCTGCACCCCTAAAAAAAATACACTTCCTCCACAAATAACACAGTAGGGAACTTTAGTAGGGAACGCGCACCTGGATATGGATATTTACCACAATAAAAAAAAAAAAAAGAGCGATCTTATCCGTAAAGGTCGTATCCAAATATAGAAACGAGTGTTGCACGCATGACGACTAACATATCAATGAAGGTGATTTAGAAAGTACAAACGTCGATCAAAGGATATTGCAAAAAACTAAAAGCATCTTCTTGTCAACACTCGGAAAGTACAGTATGAAAAACAAAGGAAAAGTTTGACCTATTACTATGAAAGTCTGGTCGGTTGCGGTTTTATAAATTCAAGTGGTTGTACGATAAACATTCTTTATTTCGTTTATATCACATGTTTAGTGTTCTAAATTTAAATTGGCAAGGCTGAGAGCGTAAATATGTAAGTACAGTATATGTGTACCATAGTGCATTCTCACACTCATCTTTATCATAATCAATCAATTCATCTATGCACCGGATATTCCTTACAAGGTTACTCAAGACTTTTCTACTTGACAAAAATGTTTAAAATTTCCGGATGTTGTTCTGGTGCGACGTCCGGTTGTAACCTTATATCTATTTCGCTTGTTTCTAATAGCATTTACCTTATAAGGGCACGTTCAATCTCCAAGAATGGACATAACCGATAAGAATAATAAACTTACTAGTAAAACATAGTGCATAATATGAATATTGGTATCGCTAATCACTGGAAGCTATTTGACAGCTCATAATCGATTTAAAGTATTATGCTACACATCTGAAAAATATGTATATCGTAATACTGTCAATTCATCGTACTACTCTTCTTATGGTAACTAGTTCGAATTCGAAAAATACAATTATAATCAACAATCCCAAAACCGTATAATCATCGGCAAATTTTATAGCATGAAAGATTTCAGGGTTGGTCGTAATATTTGTCAAACAACGTCATACCGTTATGAGTATGTCTAGATTTTTTTAGTCATTTAGTCAACCGCTGGGAGAGCGTTTAATGATTGGCCTTTGGTCTCAACATTTTCAATCGAAGCTCAGTTAACTGTAATATAACTTTAACACAGTTTTGATTGTCAATTACACTCCTAAATTGATGGGACGTTACATCAGGGATATGTGAATATTAATATTAGTGAATTTCATAACATAAAAGCATGTCCAGATTGGACATTAATATTAATACGAAAAGGCAAAATATGTTGCTCAGCTTCTTGTCCAAAATATTTATGGATTTTGGCTATACCACAGATCTTACATTCTAGCAGTTTGATTTGTATAGTCTTTACCTGAAAACATTGTAATAAATGGTCATTTGCATCATTCCAAATCAACAAGAGTTAGTGGAATGACATGCTGGAGAGATTAAACTTTCAGCCTGGTTAGACATGAAACTGGAGTCGGCCAAGCACATTCAGCTTTGCTTTAATAAAGGACTCTATAACCAAGAGATTAAGAATGAGAAAGACATACCAGATAATGTAGATGTACACAATATAAATAATATACGTGTAAATTTGACGTGTAAATAGAATTCATAATACCAGTTAGATGTACCTGCCACTAAATGTTTACCTATTACTATTGATAAAAAATAACAGAAACAATGTACATAAATATAGAGCAGTAGTAGAGAATAATTATGGAAAATGACATGTTAATCAAACATTCACTGTTGGAGACCCAGTACAATTAACATTCTTCAGATAGATTGAGCAAACATTGAACAAAGGTTACCTTCATGGGAATCTTGATTATCATCTTAGGTTGCATCAAATTTAGTTTTAAAACTGAAAATATCCTAACATCTTATGGTAATAGGAGTTCTAGTCCTACCATGGTTAGGAGATGTACGTCAGATTGCTAATTATATAGAGAGTTAATCAGGTGATAGATTTAGGGATAATCAAGGACGACATTTGCGCGCAGTGTTTGAAAAAAGTTTCAAATATGGCGTTAATATCAGGAGGAGTAAATAATTCAGCGGAGTGAGATATTTGTAGTTTATATAGACTACAAATATCCCACTTAGTCCGGAATACAACCATTCCAATGGGAATTAGCGCTTAAATCGTTTTTTTTTTCGATGGAATTAGCACCTAAATCAGTTAAGGAACTATAACCATGCCCAAGATAATGAAATGGGGCCATTTTTGATGGTATTAGTATCTAAATTGGTTAAATTTGTTGAGGGACTATAATTATCCCAAGACGATGAGTTTACATTTGTGTCGTTAATCGAATATCGTATTTGCATCGTCATGTCATAAAGGAAATCAGCTGAGGTGTTAGTTGGAAAAGTCAGCCGCTACGTAGAGTGACGACGAGTTTGCGATTACGTCGTCGTGGTAGGAGTTGACAGTTAGCCTACGGCGTTAGTCAGCAGAGACGAAAAAAAATATCGTTTATTTGTTAGTCGTACGGCCAAATGACGACGAGTTTGCGATTGCAAAAGTTGGCTTGTGGAGTTGCCAGTAAAGTTGTTTATTTGTCAGCCGTACGGCCAACTGCCGACGAGTTTGTGGTTGCATCGTTATTGCGGGAGATTTTTCTGTAATTACGCATTCAAATAAATTCATGGAGAACCAAATAGTTGATGTATCTTGATCATATTTTTAGACCGATCAAAAATATATTGTCATTTTCTCTTTCTACCACCTGCTCGTGACGACTAATGCCAATTTGCGAAAATTTTTTACCAAGAACGGCGTTACTACATGGTGTTTTACTATTAACTTTACACTAGGCGGAATACTTTTGATATAAATTCGCTGAATTGAGACTATCGATTCTATTTTCGGGCCATAATAAAATAAAAAACTGAATATGGTCGAGATAAACTAAAATTGAGAAAGCAAATCCCCGAGTCTTTGACTCATGCAATTTAATATCTATTATATCTTCATTAGCTGTATAATATTCTTCATCAGAGCTTGACATTGTACATGCGTTTATAGGTGAATCTCAAAAAATTTCTGTAAGTTACTTCTGTATGTAGCGCCAATCATTAATACTATATAAATCCGTCCTAATTATTCTAGGACACGTCCTAGTATAAAAAAAGTTACTAGGACGAGAAAAAGCCTTATTTCGTCATTTAACTTGTTATGTAAAAAGTAATATTCTGGGAAAAATAAAATTTATCAACTCATGATACATTTATACTATACATATGATGTATACATGCTATATACGTATAATATATACTATGTATATCTATAGATAAAAAAAGAGAGAAAAAAAAGTAAGAAGATCTGAGATTTACTAGGACAACTAGGACACTAGGACGAGTGGTCTAAAACTTCCCTATTTAGCTCAAAACTACTATAAACTTTTACCTTTTGGTCATAGAAATTGTCTATTTGGCTCGAATTTCATCTTTTGATCCGTCTTAGTAAAAAAAAAACCTAAGACGGCAATTTTTTTAAGGACGGTTTTTTTTTTTTTGCAAAGCGACTGCTATTTTACAGTAGGTATTCGAAATATAAATTACTCAGAAGCGGGAACTTCCTCGCTCCGCGAGTCAGTTACGTGCGTTCTCTTTTGCTGTGGTGTTACGCTAAGAAATTACACAAAATTTGTACCCACGATTATAGACGAAGACCATATAAAGAAATTTCTGTGCGCACGATTATAGACAAAGACCGAATAAAGAAATTTCTGTACGCAAAGACCAAATAAAGAAATTCTGTGCCCACGATTATAAAATAATCTGTATTAACGAGTCTTCAAAAATTTTCTACAGCAGGATAATGCTGAGGAATTGTTCAAACACGTCAAAGCTCTTGACAAATACATTAATGTAAAAAAGATGACCGCAATGAAACAGACAACGATGGATCCTCTCTAAATGCACACCCTCCATAAATACACGCTTTCCTCCATTATGACGATTATCCTACATATGGGAATATACTGTGCGCATCATAATTTGCAAGATGGACCAATAATAATAACAATCAACTGATTAGACCAAAGCGCGCGCGGTGCTTGAAAAATTCTTTTGTAACTCAAACTATGTCGTTAACGTCAAGAGTCGTTAACAATCCAGCGGTTGATGATTTGGTTCAATCGTCCTTGGAAAGTGAAAAAGAATGCTTAAGACTTGCATGGATTCCTTGCTCAGATATTACCGATATAGCGCCAACTCAAATTGACAACGTCTACTATGCTATTTGCAAGGATGAAGGTGAAGTCAAGGAAACGATAATGCTTTTGCTGCTTGGAAGTGACGAAATATGTACACCACAATTTGTGCGTGCGTTCGCCAGAATATACGCACTTCCAACACACGAGTATAATAGTAATAGTAACGACAACTTTAAAAGGTACAAAAGATGGCTCGAAAGTCGCAACGCACTGATAAAGGGATTTACCGAGCATAATAACAACTACTACATGGTGGCTGATAAACGCTTTTACGATTGCTATTCTCGATATGGATTCTGTACCGCATGCGGAATACTCCGTTGTAGTCCTGTATGGTGCATTTGTGGTCATAAGGAATTATCCGATGGATGGACCAGCAACAATAAGCGACTCGACGAGTTTATCAAGAAAACTCAATTACAGACAAACTCACCCAATGACGCCTATTTGGAATGGATTCCATACAATTGTGTTGAGGATAGGAGATATGAGGTATACTTGTGTGGTCTGCCTACTGATGCATGTATTGGTCCTGGTATGATAATGACCCCGCTTGAAATAAATGATCGAACGGATAATGCATATTATGCCGAGGTAAACTATTTACATGTTTATTGAATATTTAAAATAATTGTTGACTTGTACTGTGTATCATTTCCCTCTAGTTATGTGATGTGCATCCAGATATTCTTACCACGGATGTTTGGCTTACTATCGGATTCACATATGATGCAAGCAAACAAAAGTATTGTCTAATACAACCGTCGTATGGGGATGGATTATGTCTCGTGTGTACAGATCACTTAGAATCTAATATAAAAGTATTCTGTCTTCATTGTAAATCGCCAAGACTACGAGGTTGGACTACTGGCAATAAGTCATTGGATTCATTTATTATAGAATCATGGAATAATACAGAGAATAGATATGATGCCTATGTACATTGGATTGAATACTCTCAATTGGCAAATGTACGAGAAATGACACCATTACGCCATGGATGCACGCACATGGCAGATTGTTTAAAACTGATAACAAATGAATTGACACATGTGATATTCAAAAAAATAGTTGATGGGCAAACTGAACAGCCGTTTGATTTTCATCAGGTACAGTAAACTATTTTTATTTTGTGTAAAACAATGCAATAAGTGCGTATCATACAACCAGTGTTGTAATAACTGTATATGTGTTGTTTATTCAAATAGCTAACTAAAGAATATCCAGACATATTAACACCGGAGAATATTTGGATACTTGGAATCACCCAGGAACCATCTACTCGGGAATACTATTTGGTGTTTTACCATGACATACATGCACTATTGAAGTTTATGATTATACAAAATCATATTAATATGGTAAAATACATGCAGTATAGAGACTTTTATGAACTCAATGAGATTGGATCTAGAGGTTATACAACTGTCTATACTGCCAAATATAAAAATTATTCAGAAGAGAATATGCCACAAACTGTTGCACTCAAACAGTTTAAGAATTTTGATGAAATGCCAGAATTATTTATTTCTCAGGTAAGTGACTGTTGATGTTATAAATTAAAGTATGCTTAACCTGACTCTGTATTCATTTTATTAACAGTTCAGAAATCATGTCAAGTGTGTATATGTATCTCTTCTTGGTCATATTATTTGTGGCGTTACACAAAACCCCTCAACAAAAGAGTACATGATTGTTATGCAATATGCTAACAATGGTAATCTTTTGTCTTGTTTGGATCAAAATATTAACAAATTGACGTGGAAGAAGAAATTACACCATTTGAGGTATATTGCATTGTATCTGGTGGATATCCATGGCGCGGGATTAGTGCATTGCAATCTTCATGGCGGAAACGTTGTTGTGCAGAAGAATAGCAATGACATTACATATTCCGTCATATACGATTTTGGACTCTCACGATCAGTGAATTCACGCGAGTCAAATCCAAACCTTCGTGGCGTTTGCCCCTTTATTGCACCCGAAGTCTTTTATACCCGCAAATATACTCAGAAATCAGATGTGTATTCTTTTGGTATCATTATGTATTTAATGGCTACTGGTGAACCGCCTTTTATTGACAGAAAGATTGATAGTGATTTAATACACGATATTATGGACGGACTACGACCGTCAATGCCTGATTCCGCACCGGAAGAATACAAGAAATGTGCCGAGTCGTGTTGTGATGCTGATCCTAATAAGCGTCCGGATGCAGGGTCACTTTTTCACAATCTTAACAAACTTGCTAAAGAGCTTTGACAAGGACAATTCTGTTGATAATACGTGGAACGCTGCTCATCACGCTGATGTAAAACCCTTACCGCGTCTCGAGGAGAGTAAATACTTTTAACTACTGGGGGTCTGTTTAATGGGAATTGGTTGCTTCTCAAGTTTAGAGGAAGTAAAGGAATTTAATAACGGTTACAAAGACAACAATTGGGTCTGCTCATGCAAACGAAATCATCTACAATATCAAAGTCGTCTACTGTTTATTGTAAACCCGTTTATTCAAAGATTGACCCCTCGTCAAACTAAATAAAGCAAACATTATTCATCCATATATAAGATACGTTGATTACCTAAAGCATGTCTAAGGGCTGCGAAGCAAATGGATCGATAAACTCGAAAGTGAATAACTGACTCCGATCGGCGCTAGGTCGTGAGTAGTAAGTATAGTTTAACTTTCACTATACTTAACTGACAATAAGCCATTCCCCAAAAAATTGCGCCAATGCGCCACTGCAATCACCAAAAATAACGGGTCGGATAATCTTGAGACACAAATCCATTATGAGCGGGTAAGTAATGTTGTTAGAACATTAGTTGTAAAGCCGGAGATTTTTAGTCCATATGATCAATAGTAAAATACGTAATCATACTTGTACAATCGTCAATAGATGTCCTGTGAATTATGCATAGTTAATAGTTATATTTGAGGTTTGTCAATTATAAAGTCTTTTTTTCCTTTTCTTTTTTTCTTTTAAATACAAAATAATAATCATTCGAAAATATTTAACTGCAATCACTGATCAATGTCCATTACAACACCAATTCCCCTCTTGTTCAGCAAATCGTTGCTATTAAAATTAGATTACATATCAATCCCAACTACACACTCCCCCACCCCCCGAACTCGTTCAGAAGAAATGCCGTGTCATCCCCATTTCCTCCTCTCCAGCTTTTTTATCTTCTTCGCTGTGAAATTACAAAAAAAAAAAATCAGACCAATGTTTTCAACATGCAATCCCGTCCCCCCCCCCCCTTCCTCCTCCTCCTCCCTTCCCTCGGTTAAAAACGTGACACTCACCACAACTTCACTTCTATGCGGACCAAGTCAGGAAACGCGGGATTCCCCGTCACATGTGGTTTCTGCACTATCCTACCTATCCTCATTGAATAGTCCTTTATTATCTTGAGACTCTGCTTCACATCATTCAACGTGCAAATCCACGATATGACATCGAGTTTGGCCTCGCAATGCTTCAACAACCACCGTAACGGTTCTCGTATCGACGTCCATTCGGTATCTATTGACAATTTCCGTATGTGTGACGGTACACTGATCATATTTTTCGCTCGATAACTGCTGTAGACAGTTAGAACGTCTTGGGTACTAAGTACATTCAGCGACGATATGCTCAATTCTGTTAATTGAGTGAATCCTCGTAGTGAATGCAACAATATTAGTACATCCTCGGCTCTTGTCAATGTCGCGGAAAATCGAGTGACGTTCGTACAATATTTCATCAGTGTTGGGAGCACTGATTCAATGTCCGTTATCCATAATCCAAGATTGACTTCTTGTAACGTGCCGGCTGCGCGTGTCAACAAGATCGAAAGCTCCTCAATCGGTGGAGACCCCCACGTGCCTACCCATGAAGTATGCGTTCTGTAATCGTATTTGATGCCAATGAAATCCAACCGTTTTAACCGGGGGAAGTGGCAACTGGTAAATGAGAAATACTGTGCGTTCAAGTTGCGGCGACATGATATTATGCGTAGTGTCTCTATGTTTTGGCATATGGAGTAGTTTCCCAGTAACGCAATGTCGTTCAACCAGCAACGATAGAATTCTATGTATGTTAAAGAGTGCTGTGAATTTAGTGCGGGAAGGACTGTCTGAAGTTTAGTCACCCAGAATCCATCGATCGTCAGCTTGCGCAGCTTCCGTTGAGATTCAATGAACGACTGAAGGTAATCTGCGGGCTTGCAAAAACCTTCGATTCGTAAACACTCGACGTTGGTGCTGTGTTTCAGGATCCCAGTACTATACAACTGCTCGAGCAAAGTTGGCCCGATAACCAGACCGTTTAAACGAGTGACGCATTTAGGTGATGGAGTAAAGCGATAAAGATTAGGATAGAGTTCTTGCAGTTGTGATAACTGATACTTGTTTGGCTCCTTCTCGTTGAAGCATAGAAAGTCAAAACGTTCACAACGATCCAAAAACAGTTTGCACAGTTCATCTGCCAGGCTACGATATTCTGTCTTTTCGGGATCAGTGTTATTATGCCCACCTTTAGTTTCCGATACGGGATGATGCGCTTCACACCAGTAATAAGCCGCAGTCTGTAGATCAGAAAGATCGAGTTCTCTTAATAGCTTTGGATAATCAAAGGTGGGAGGACGATTTGTCGGGTTTAATCGTATGCCAAAGGCCGATCTGGTCTTTTCGCTCAGAAAGGGAAGATACGAATTTACGAGTTTGACGTATCGATATCCGCATAGCAGTCGGCGTCGTTGGGCTGGGACGAGATTAATTGCATGGTCAGAGTCAATCCGGCCAAGTACATTAAATGGTTGTCTCCAAAGTAAAGACGTTACTTCGGTGCACCAACGTCTGTTGATTAATAAGGCACAATGAAGGGTGGATAAGTCGTAGTGGTGAATATGTTCGAGAATATTAGCTATACATTCATCGGGAAGGGAAAATGTCATAGTAGTAATGTTCGATAATTAGTCATTCGGTATGTTTGCAACCCAATTTTATAGTCCAATAAGCTATATGTAGTGTTAATCATTTTAGGACCAATCAGAGCGTAGTGGTAATAAAACGGAATTTACGAGGATTTTGTCCGTGTAGCCTTCGGATCGTTCTGTGTACATTCGATCATCAATGTTTGTCGGAAATTAGTCACCAATGGCTTTTAATGGAATAAAATAACCAATAGAAAAGCACACTATTGTAAATTATAAAGGTTATAGTCATGTGATATAATCATTTCGCCCTTGATGTTTGGACTTGTAAAATGGGTATTTCCGTAAAGGACAAAAAGTCTGATCTTTTTTTTTTTTTGAGCCAATCTTTTCAAGTTTTGGTGAGCGAACGGGTAAGTGAGAGCGTGATTCTGGAAGAGAAAAAAGGGAAGAATGTGCTTATCCGATGTACCTATCGTGAGAGTGTACGAAAGTATTTATCATAATATAAATTAGTGCGTGCGATCTACAATACCCGATTCATTAGTATGATCCCATGACTTGCGTGCCTCATTTATTGCAATTAATTTTACGTTTTAGATTCTAACAATCGGACATACTTGGTTAACAAAATAGTGGAGGGCGGAGTGACTCTGTTGGTGTAACTTTCGAATATACACTTCGCCATGATTCGTTCCGTTATCGGTGCCCTAACCAGTTGCTGCAATTGGTTTACAAGACTTTACACCCATTTTATATAAAAATGGTGGGAATAGTGTGGGGGGGGTTAGTATTAATATTAAGTGGGAAGGGTTAATTATTAATAAATCAACCTTAAAAGTGACGAGTTTGATTAGATTGTCTATGGATGGATAAAAGTTGAACTTGATAAATATTTGACCTACATATAATAAATATTTGTGCACAAACTGTACAATTAATTTGTCTTGTATAATTAGAGAAGGGGAAAGGGTCTCTGATTGCCACATGAGTGTATGCTCTGTCGTGAATAGAAAACTGATATTATTGTATGCAGGCGTGATCAGTTACAACAATCGTGGGAATCGATTACCATTAAGAGTTAGAGCATAATAACTACAAAAGCAAGAGTTATACCGTCTTTGGTTGCTGGGGTGTTATACAATAAAGAATTGGTCGAAATGTGGTCCTCTCAAAAGATGTCACGCATATATATGCATGCGTCACTCACCGTATAGATCGGTAATATTTGCTACCCTCTGTTTCACTGCAGAAAGGGTCTCTGGAATGTTGTGGGGAAACGAGAGATACCAACCGTTTAACACATAATAACCGGTGATACTAAGTTTCTTACCATTATATATGTAATCCATATGACATCATTTTGACAAAAGTTGCCCAAAATAAAGTCTTTCCAATGATCTACTCGTTGGCGTTTCACAAAATTCCCCATTGTTAATGGACTTCCCACACATCTTCTTTCGATGCGCCAAGCAACGCGTAAATTGGGACAAAGTAATAATTTATGCATACGTATTTACTCGCAGTTATTAATGCTATAAAACAAACACTTAAATAGAAATCTGCTGTTTATTCGAAACACCAAACGGTTTAACCTTTCGGACCGAGCAAATGTTTCGGTCCTTGCTACGTACGTATATGCAAACTAGTTATTGCTAGCAGTTGTCTGTTATACTCTTGGTCCTACAAAATACAATCGTGGGCATGAATAAACTCTCGTTAGTAAGGCCAATTAGAACCAGTTCTACTCAAAAAATCACACCTCTCTTTTGATTGGATGCTTTATGAACAATCGGCTTCCCAACAATGAATACAAATTTGGTAATTAAGGGGCGCAAAATGGCTAATACTAAAGTTTAACTCCAATACCGCGTCTAATAAAAAATAGCAGGGTTAATACACGCAGACAGCCTCATGCAATCCAATATAATACAGATAATGTTATATACGAACCAAAGAATGTCAAAGCATTGCTATTTTGACTCGTCAACTGCAAACTTTATTTCACCATATCAAGTTTGATATAACTTAGCCATTAGCCTGGACGCATTACTTTAGTTGTGTTTTTTTTTTCTCAACTCTTTCAAGACTTTTAAACTTAGCTCTTTGTTATTTTTAATGTTTGTATTACTACGTTACTACATTCGATCATAATAAGTATATTCTCTCTCTTTGGCAATTAAATTTACTAAACAACATGAAAGTTGTGTACATCGCTCTTGGAAGAAATGTTATTTAAAATACATAAATACAAGTTTTTTCAAATTTGCCATAATAATATGACAGTAAATTTGATGTTATATTGGTATAACCATTTTTTAAAGAGTTCTTCTCGATAAATGTAAAATTCTACTCATTATTGTTGAAACTACTATTCGTTATCTTTGTCAGTGTATGGTTATAACTTGGATTTCAAATAAGTGTCTCGTTGTTGATGTCACCAGCGCTCGCGCTGTAGGCTTATTCATAATGATTAGCCACAGCAATATTTAAACCGAGACTTATTTCCGACCCGATACATTAAAACAAAAAACATAACGTATTTCTGCACATAAAGCTAACACATTAAACGCAGCTTACTGCTGAAAGTAATTGGTGAATATTCGAACGACTGGACAACTAGCTTTGGTTAAATTTTAAATTAATCAATAAAACAACAATTCTCCAACATGTTGATATTGTCAGGCTCTTGATTCGATATTATTGGTACAGAATCTGACCAAGGACATTACACGGTCGAATAGCCAGTCATATTACAGTATTATCATCGTACAAGACAAGCTAACGTCTTCGATCTTAGATGCGTATCGATCTTAGATGCGTAAGCATTCTGACTAATCAATAAAAAGTACGCAATATTAATAGTTTATATTTCAAGAAAATAACAAAAACGTAAACTTGCCAACTTATTTTCTCGGCTACTCAATATGATTGATGTTTATGGAATAAATTAAATATGTTATAAGTCAAGAATATTTAAGCAATTGGTATACTTTAAAAACAACGAGCAAAAAACAGTAGATAAAATAATTTTACTGGCAAATTACACAGAAAACCTAAAGTGATTTGTAACTTGATAATATACAACCTCTCGAGGGTTAAGATTTTCTTGATCACGACAAGAATAAATTGATAAAATTGTCAACTCATCCAAATAATACTACGCGCTCACTATTATATCTCGACCAATTTGACTAATTCGATACTGTAATAAGCTATCAAAAGTATTGATATTTTTCCAAATTTTGACTACGTATCAAGACATGTTGCAATTAACAAGTAAATTTGTCGTATGCTGCTGCGCAAATAGCAAATAAATTTTTATTTAAAAAAGCACTCGAAGCATTACATTCTACACATACGTCCGGAAAAAGTTACTTTACGTTTGCACTTTGCACCCAAATTCTACGTTACCGTAAAATGTTTCATATTACTATTTCAAAAGTACAGCGCCAGAACTGGAGTATTGTAAGTAAACTGTAGAAATTAACTGCTAATAGCTTATCCGTTTTTAATTCATTTATTTTTAGGCAAGTAAGCTTCGAAATTTATGCCGTTTCTGGACTGGATAATGAATCTGAATGTCTATTCGTATCGCTGAGCCCAATTCTTTAACAAAACACGCAAAGCCTCGCACGGCATATCGGCACTTGTGTCGTAATAATAGTTTGCCATTTTCATATGCCAATGATCAGAATTGTCTCGTCAGGGCGAAAACAAAACTGAAATTTTTCAAAGTATTTTCAACATTTTGCTGATTGGAAAGAGAAAGTTTAGGAAGCAATTTGTAATGTTGACAACAAATCGCTATCAACTAATAACATTTATCTTTTGAAAATGTATGACACTGTGTTAGAAATTTGTGGGTCTATATGGATAAACTGATATCAGAGAATCAATTTATCATTTCTTACGGTATCCAAATTTACAAGGAGATCCTTTATTTGCACGCGGAAACTAACTGTTCAAGCAGTCTCGGTTCTTCCGACCACCAATACAATCGCATAAAACAACGTGCGTGGCTTTTGTCAAATAACTCAGCGACCCCGGTGGAGATAAATGACGGTTTATTGTAAAGTTGACAGTCCGTTTGATGATTTGAAGAATTAGGTAATGAAACTACGTCACTTTGATGAAAGAAAACAATGTCGTGAGAATAATTGTCGGAATAGATAATAACGGTACATATGGAAATTATTCCCCAAATTGGGCCAATTAGAGAAAGCAATCCACGCAACACCAAGGATCTGCACCTGACACATTTTTGCTTGTTCCATAGATCTTGGTAATAGTTATTGATTTCCCTTATTGACACTTACAACAAGATAATGTTATCTCTTTGTGCCTCACTAAAACGATCCTTATCACAGATAATTCCGGCCCAATTTTTACTTCCAAGCTCGTTCACCGCTAAATCTTCCTTCACTAATCCTCTCCTCAAATCCACCTTTTTATCTCCCTGCATCAAATATCCATTATCAAGCTCTCCTCTTATTGTCAACAACTTCAAATTCGCAAATTATGCAACATTAAATCAAGTGATACGTAAATGTCGAAAGACCAAGCGCAAACCAGCAAGATCGCCTGCAATGGAAGGCAATTGTCAGAAAAAAGGAGTGTGTAACAAAGTATACACAACAAAACCAAAGAAACCTAATTCTGCTGTGAGGAAAGTAGCGAGAGTCAAACTATCTACTGGGAAAGTTATTATTGCATATATTCCAGGCGAGGGACATAATCTGGTATGTGATTAAACGTATGTAAACTCTAATCGTGCTTGCGCGCTGATTTTATCTCGTTTCGAATCGAATAATTTATTAGAGTGAACATTCCGTCGTGTTGGTGCGTGGAGGTAAGGAATCAATGCATGTTGTGCCGACTTGAAATATCGAAACTTATACTAAAAATTCCTATATCGTCACCCTGCAGGTCGTGTAAAAGATCTTCCGGGTGTCAGATATCATCTGGTCAGAGGATCCATGGACTTTCAAGGTGTACCCAACAGAATGACTTCGAGATCGAAGTACGGAACAAAGAAACCCAAAAGCTCTAGCAAATAATCACGTATACTTGTATGCCTGTTGCGAGAGTAATCGTCTATCGTAATAATGTTCATATGTGGCACTGCTATATGCAGTTGTGAGAATAAGGCCCGCAAAGGTCTTGTTATTAGTATTATCCGGTTGTAGCAGGTCGAAAGAACCGAACAAATTAGTCGTTTTATGGAAGAGGCACATAAGAAGTTTGTCACAAGCGGAGCGAGAGCAGTAAAATGGGGAGTTTCATGAGTAATGCAAGTAGAATGTTGTCGATTTAGTATTGTTGATTCTGAAGCTACGCATGTAAAACGTTCGATGAGTACGGACGCTATTAGTAAAGACTCTATGAACGGATTTGGATGTCCTGCCTGAACCGTAATTAGACGGAATAATATATTTTTGTTACTTTAATGTATACCTCTGTACGCACTGTACTTGACCGGTTAAGTTATAAACACAATGGCTAAGAAACTGGATTATCATAAATACATGCGGAATTCCCATTCTTCTCTAATAATGCTTTCCCACCTTCCCCATACTCTTACCGTAATATATAATATATTAGTCGGAATGATCGAATATCCTTGAAGAAGGGCGCTCGCTGTCATCGTGCACAGACGCCCTGTGTCTTATTAAATATCACACAAGACGAGTATGGTTGTGTTAGTGGACAAAATTGCGCTGGCAAGATATATTATTGTCTAAATCTTGTATTGAACTTGATATTTCGCTCAAGATTATGCAAAGTTGTAACAAATTTCATTTATCCATTATGAAAGTGGAACTAAAGTGGAGACAAATGAACAAAAAACAGTTGAATGGTATCAAAAAGCAGCTGATCAAGGTGATGCTGTTGCACAAAAGAATCTTGGTTGGTGTTATGAAAGTGGAATTGGAGTAGAAAAAAATGAACAAAAGGCAGTTGAATGGTATCAAAAGGCTGCTGAACAAGGATATGCAAGTTGCACAATATAATCTTGGTGTGTGTTATGAAAGTGGAATTGGAGTAGAAAAAGATGAACAAAAGGCAGTTGAATGGTATCAAAAAGCTGCTGAACAAGGATATGCAAGTTGCACAATATAATCTTGGTGTGTGTTATGAAAGTGGAATTGGAGTAGAAAAAGAGGTTTTATTCGCAGCACATTTCCACGGAACTGCTATTCCGACCATTATTGTCTATATGGGACAAAATAAATTAAAGTTCCAACAATTTGCAATATAATTTCTTGTAGACAAGGAATAGAATGCCAGCTGCATCAGCAACATTTTTTTTTCGACTTTGTAAGGCCATTTTTAAACGGTCATTGATCGGATAAATAGCGTGTTTGCGTATGGTTGGAATTTATTCCTTGATATATATGGTTTTATTTCAGCATTACTGGTCGTATTGCTGATTAAATAAGCGATAGACATGAATGTCATCTTCGTACGTGTAATTGTATGCTGGTCGTAATTGGCATGTTAAAAATTTTCCTTGGGTGTAACTTCATACGAAGTATTCTCTGCGTCAAATATGCGATAAACATGCAGACTTGGTAACAATTTTCCGTATATATTCTTGAGTAGAAGCAATATAGACAATAGCTGTAAGAAATTGTCATCATTGTTGTAATTGAAGTATTTATATCAATAATGTAATTTAGATTGGGAAAATGATAAAGGCCAATTACAATGGATATATACTATATATTAATATATATATATTTATTTACTTTATCTGATTGATAATTCGTGTCCGCGTTTTTGTGTCTTTCACTGTAGACTTATCACCCTTTGGGCAAATACGGATTGGTTGTAATGTTGATGACGTTATAGAAAGAGTCTTTCCCAAGCAGTTGGCATATGCAATTGGAAACTTTTCATAATATGCTACGCTTACATTGTTAATCATACTATAAATCTAACAGTATCAAAAAGTTTTATTTTTTTTTTTGGGAGGATAATTCAGTTTACTAAAAGAATAGGCTGGGTAAAATCTTAGTTTATATAAGCTTCTTGTCGTTCATATGTAATAATACGTGAAACTAAAATGACTAGTATTTATAATCGCGATGGGACTCTCCATTAAAATGAAGTTGTGGCAACTTGGAAACGTCGCGTCGCTGCAATTGAGCCATCACAATTAATAATTCTCATGTGTCATTCTCGTCTCTCTCCTGGGCATTCCACAACTAGCCATAATGTTTAACAACCAGGAAAAAAGCCTTTCTGCTTTGGCATAATCAACTCTTATTGACAAACTGAGAGTAATTGCTGATGTATTATTGAATATATTCTATTTTATTTTTCCTTTAGATCTGTTACTCTAATTGTTCTCTATAATGTATATTAAAAGACTAAAAATTCAGCAAAACAAAATAACATGCCTCGTGTTGAAAATCATCACTAAACCCCACCGGACATACCAATCTGGTACTGGCATTTCAAGCAAGCTCAAATTGTAGCCGAAAAAGTTTCATGTCCATAATGTAAAGTAGAACCAATTGTTCAACCAATACATTTCTTTTTTGTTTTATTAGACCCTCCATTTTAGATCGCTCCTATTATAAATATCTATTATTACAATCGTTCTCTTTTCTCCCCAATTAAAAATGTCATTCCCGTGGTCGTCGAGCCAGCCTACCCCGGAGACTTCTTCGGGAATAGAAACTTTTGTCTTCACTGGAAGGAGATGGGCGTGATTTTCCTGCCGAGGACGGAAGGAGAGATTGAAGTGTTTCTATTTGGTCGCTCTGAGTGTATAGTTTTCAAATCGGTAGAGAGAAAGAGTAGAGAATGTGATGAGTATTTTACTGAGTTTTCTAACCGATCCGCATAATGGCACTATTATGGTCCATTTTACCTTCAAATCCATACTGTGAAGCACTTCGTTGATCTGTTCCTTAATAGAATGCCACTTGTTCCGTGAATTTACGGGATCAATTGTATCTGATTCGTATGAGAGCTGGTTATAAACCCTATACAGGAACAACGTGTGAGTCGTGTACGGTCGGTAATCCCGTCTTGAAATTTCAGGCATTTTATTCTGCTCTATCTTCTCATTAAAATACTAATACATACATGTGTAGATGACTTAATTCATCTCTCAAATTATCAATGACTTTTTCCAGCGCCATATCAGGAGACACTTCGTCTTCGTCTCCTTTGCTATAGTAACTATTCGTTCGGGCGTGCGTTGCTAAAAAGAAAGACGAGCATCCTTCATTAGTATTATTGTCTAGACTGAATGATAAAAGAAAATCCAAAAATCCAAAAATGAGAACGTACATTTGTTGTTATTTTCATCCTTCCCAATCTTACATATCGAACATGTTTTTGAATTATGTTCTTTCATAAGACTTAGCGCTCGTTGCGTTTTTGCTGTAACCGAAGGCGACTTTCCCGTACTCTGGAAAACCGTAACAATTCAACCTTTGAGAAAAATGACTTCTTTCCTCGATAATAAATGTCATTCAACATACCGTTCCAGGAGGGAAAGATGACTCTCTCCGCCTGTCCCCGGGGGACTTTTTTCTTGCTTTTTCTCTTTTGATATCGCTTCCTGTATACCCTCGCCGACGCAGATACGATTTTGAATTTTTGACATCGTTCCATTTAGGCATTTCGTGGACCACTGAAATCGGAGATGGTCGGTAATAGTAACTACCATATCCATGATCATACGCATCATATGGGTGAATGTAATATTCTCTCGGATCTGATTCGTATCCATAGTCATATCGATCATCAACCCGTGAATAGTGCAGATAGTTTTCGTCGTATAGCTCGGGATGTCGGTGCGGTGTTTTATAATACATTGGCGGGTAGTTGCGGGAACTCGGTGGAGGTGGTGGTAGTGGTGGTTCGTAATAACTGCGAGGAGGTGCAAAAGGCGGTAATTTGTAATATTTCGGAGGATAATTGTGTGAGTTTGGTATGTATGGCGGTAGTGGCGGTGGTGGTGGCAGTGACGCAGAACAATAATTTCGTGGTGTTGCGGAATAGGGGAGGCCTGCAGTCTATAAGCCAGTGAGTACACTTTGGCAATGATGGATAGATAGAAAATGTAATAAATTGGTATTCCACCTCTCTTCGATCGGTCCCCGTACTACTTCGTTTTCGTCGATTATCTGCGATTTCTTCCTCAATTATATTGACCTGTTCCGGCTACACATGATTACTACTAGTGAGTATTCCGACATTCTTTTAATCGCAGTGATTCTAACAAACAGCTTACATCGATGTAAATTCCAGATTCCTTGTTCTCTTCGCTATCGTCACTGCTCTCATCTCTTCTACTCTTCCTATCCCAATTTTCCCAGCCTTCTTTTCTCTTTCCTTTATCCTGTCTACTTCCTTCTCCTTCTGTTATTACAGATAAGTCATATTTAGCTTTGCTAGTTAGCATTGCATGAACCGACAAGGATTAGAAAGAGAATGGAGTGAGTTTACTTTCAAAATTTCTAGGCGTATATCCTGTAGCTGACGTTCGAGACGAATCAGATTTCTCTGCAGTTATTTCAGAAAGTTTTTCTTCGTATTTTCTTAACTTCTGTTGTAACTCTTGCACAAGTCTGTCAGATTCTCCTTTTTCTTGCTCTAGCTTCTTTATCTTGTCTGTTACGGTACGGAATGCAGCCATTGGTCCTGAAATAAATCAAACAGTAGTTGAGCAAGTGTTAAATCGTCACTTTACACATAAAGTATCTATATTCTAATGCTAATTGGCTTACCTTGTGAATTAAAGTCAGGTAAAGCCATGTGCTTTCGTTGCCGTCCCGGACTGGTTGTTATAGTCAAGCTAGATAGCATTGATTTAGATCCGGTTTGACGGGATTCATCTTTCAACGATTGGTCGCTCCCATCCACTGAAGAATTATCTGCATTTACATTTTTGTTGCGTTCAAAGGCAGCTCTAAGTTTTCGACGTCGAGCTTCGCCCAACGGACGAGAAAGATCAAGCGAAACGTCATCGTCATATAGCATACTCTCGTCACCAACGACGTCTCGATATTCCTTTTCGCTAACTCCTCTTGGTGGGGGCATGTTTGAAACGCTATCTAGGGTAAATGCAGATGTATGCTCAGCCAAATCGATTGACGGCGGTACTGGAGGTCTGTAGTCCTCGTCGTCGCTTTCACCCTCCACTGGCATGTGTTCTGATATAACTGAACTAATGCTTGAAAGGTCGAGAGAATCTTGACTGACATGGTCATGGTTCAGTTTCCGGCCAGATTTGATAGAATAAGCCATTGTATATACAAAAAGGTGTTATATAAAGACTCGTCTTTGAGCCAAACATTTATGCAACTTTTTTACGCGGGTTGGTTGTTTACTTTTTATGGCCAGATGATATGCACGCAAGGAATTCAGGGGTCTAAATCAGATAATCATGTTTTTAACGCCTGGCAAATCGAAATCTTAATGCTCACTGAGGCCAATTTCGAAACGCGTTGAAAAAGTTATCCACTTTAACAAATAGCCTATATCTGGTAAGTCAAATTGTCATGTGTTGCAAACACATACTCAACGTTTATGGCGGGAAAATCAACTCATCAAATATCACGTGCATTTACAAAATATATTGTACGGATATACGCTCTGCTTCGTCAGCATGCTATGTACAGAGATCGTTCTGCTTTCTTCAGTATAAATTGATGCAAGCGATTACCTGTGACAAGACAGGGAATGTGAATGGATTGTTTTTTGACGATCTCCGTAATCAAACAAAAATCTAATCGTACAGAGTCAAAGAAACGAACCATTTATATATTTAATGGCGAAAAAGTTATCGGTTAGTCAAAAACTTTTGGCTTGGCCTTTAACATTATTAATAATTAATTTTGGTTTAGACAATAAACAACTTTGGTTTAATATTAATGCAATTTTAGCTGGAGAATTCTATTAAGTATACGCCAGAATATCATTCAGGCCTTTTAGAAAGTTTTACATCGGATTATTTTAGTCGCGTGTAAGAAGCTTTTTTGAGGTCTTGGGAAAGACAGTACACGAAACTGTAAATCTCTTCCTGACAATGGCTACTGACTCGTAGCGTTCTTGGGCTTCTTTATAAGAAACTTTTTCTCACAAAGGATTGAGAAAATGGCTTGGCTGAATATTCCCATAGCGTGTTTACATTGAATGAGATGGGCAGTGACATTAAGCATGAAGAGCAGTCATTGTTTTATTAAGGGCAGAACAATAACTTTCACCGTCTCCGACGCCCACGTTAGGAAACAAAACTCCCTGAAATTACTTGTTATATCCCAATTTCTTGTCGTGTATAATTTGTCGTTATTACAATAGTTACGGTATAAGAGAATAGCGTAGACGATAGCAGAAAAGCATCTTCAGCAGACGACAATCAATTTTTGCTTTAGAATAGTTTTTTTTATATTCTAATAGAGACCGTGTTAAAGGATAATTATTTTATTTTGTTCGTTATTATATAATATAAGAGCAACCGCGGTATAGTTGTTGGACTGTTGAGAAAACAAAACGTACAACCGCGCGTATTTCTGAGATTACAATCCCCTTAATCTTGAGGTAATCTGCGATTATTATTTAATTTTTGTGCATAGTTTAGTTTATATTCTCCAACTAAAAGGCTTTTAGTCTAAAAGAATCAACAGTGTATGTAAAATGATTGGCCTACTTATTAACTAACTTGAACTATTAATATTAACTCAAAGTTTTGAATAAATTCCGCTTTCTATAAAGTAAGGTTGACTTCGGTCAGTTTTTATATCTCAAAAAATACTTCACAAAAAGAGTATGTAATTTGTTAATATGAACTGCGAAATGGCGAGCAGTGTTCATTCTAATATCGAAATGTTGTTTGGTTCATGAGCTTGTTACTTATTATTATATAAAGTCAGTGATATGTTGTTGGAACCCATAATTCAGCAATAAAATGACCTGACTTTAAAATTCTTCAACTTCTCCAAATTTTATATTTTTAAAGGCTGATAATTTATCAAATGAAGTACCATTATTGTAAAGTGTGACAATGTTTCTATACTGATGACACAATTTCCTTGTAACCACCAATTCTTTTAGATATTACTGTAAAGCATAATTGAAAGCTGTATTTATATTGTTTGTGGAATTTGAAAATTATTGGACGAAATACAAAAGAGTGTCTTAGCCTATTATAATTAATATATTTAGCAGTAGCATACCATCACTATTACTATTACTATTATCAACATGTATCAATTAACTGCTGTCATTATACCTATGGCAAATCTCCAGGGTTTACTAGAATATTAATATTACTCTCCTTGTTGTGATGTAACATTGTTATTATAATAAATAGCATTCCATATGTCATTGTCCACAGTTTTAATAAGCTCACAAATCCAATACCAAAGTCCCCGAGTATTTGGCCGTTTATCAGGATCAGCATCACAACACAGCTCAACAAGTTTCTTGTATTTCCTTGGTGTGGAATCAGGCATCATTGGTCGTAGTCCACCAATAATATCACATATTAAACTCTCATCAAACTCCCTATTTCTAAAAGGTGGTTCACCAGTAGCAATCAAATACATAATGATACCAAAAGAATACACATCTGATTTCTGAGTAAATTTGCGGGTATGGAAAACTTCTGGTGCAATAAAAGGCAAAACACCTTGCATGGTCAGACTTGACCTGGGTGAATGCAATGATTGAGAAAAACCAAGATCACAAATGAATAGAGTACACACATTATTATTGTTATGCAAAACAATGTTTCTGTCATGAAGATCACAATGCACTAATCCTGCATCATGAATATTATACAAATCATCTGCAATCTCCTTCAAATGGTTCAATTTCATCTTCCATGTCAAATTGTTAATATTCTGACCCAAATAAGACAAAAGACTACCATTGTTTGCATATTGCATAACAATCATGTACTCTTCTGTTTCTGGAATTTGTATGACCCCATAGATTTGAAGGAAAAAATTAGAACGATACAAGTTTGTGCACTTGACATGGTTTCTGACCTATTAAATAAATGAATAAATGAGTCAGATTAAACACCATGTTATTGTTAGTTGGTATATTAAAAAGTGCTTACCTCAGAAAGAAATAATTCCACTGTCTGATCAAACTTCTTAAACTGTTTTAGCACAACAGTTTCTGGAATATTTGCTACTAAATGCTCTTTATACTTGGCTGTATAGACTGTTCTGTAACTACCAGATCCAATCTCTTGAAGTTCATCAAAGTCACCATATTCCATATACTGCATATGCCCATAAATGCTTACAATTTTGTCCAATATTGGACGAGTTTCATGGTGAAAAACTAAATAATATTCTCCAGTAAATGGTTCCCGAGTAATTCCAATTATCAACATATTCTCAGGGGTTAATATTTTGGGGTATTCTTTAATCAGCTATTTAAATGAATAATATGTTGTTAACACGTAATACACGTTAATAACAGCATCTGCATTTTATACATAAAATAATTTACCTGATGAAAATCAAATAACTGTGCGTTCTGTCTGTAAACTATGTTTTTGAGTGTTACTTTGATCCATTTATTTGCCATCGGTTCTAACCAATCTGCTACAAGTTTGCATTTGCCGTGTAATGGGGTTATTTTTCGTACATTGATCAGTAGGGAATATTCAATCCATTGTATATATGTATCGTGTTTGTTCTCTGTATTACTCCACGACTCCATAATGAATGAATCCAAAGACTTGTTGCCAGTCGTCCAGTTGGGCGGTCTCGGTGCTTTGCATTTCAAACAGAATGCATTTATCTCGGGTTCTAGTCGACATGTACACGCCAGACATATTCCATCCCCATATTCCTTTATTAGACAATACCCTTGCCATTCTTTGTGATATGTAACGCCGATAGTAACCCAAACATCCGTGGTAAGAATATCTGGATGCTTATCACATAGCTAGCGGAAATTATACACAATAATTATTAAAACTGTTCAATAAACGTGATGCATAAGTAAATAGTTTACCTCGGCATAATACGAATCATGTGTCTTGTCTGTTATCTCAAGTGGAATCAAGTTAACGCTTTCATAAGTAGGTAGACCATACGTGTGTATGTCACATTTCCAAACATGAATACAATCGAATGGAATCCATTCCAAATAGGCATCATTTGCTGAATTTGTCTGTAATTGGGATTTCTTGATAAACTCATCGAGTTTCTTATTGTTGCTAGTCCACCCGTCAGATAATTTTTTATGACCGCAAATGCACCACACGGGACTACATCGGAGTATTCCGCATGCAGCGCAGAATCCATATCGGGAATAGTAATGATAAAACTCTCTCGAAGCAACCATGTAATAGTTGTCACCATACTTGGTAAACCCCTTTATGAAACTGTTGCGATGCTCAAGCCATTTGTGATATCGTCTGAATTGATTGACATCATTATTATACTTGTATGTCGGAAGTGAGTGTTTTCTGGCATACTCACTCACAAGTGTTGGTGTACATTCTTTGCTACTTCCAAATAATGATAGTAACATTATCTTGGTACCATTATGGTCGATAGAGTAATAAACGTTGTCAATTTTAGTTGGCTTTATTACGACAATGTGTGTGCAACGAATCCATTCAAGTCCATAACTTTCTAAGGAGGATCGAATCGGGTTGTCAATTGCTAGATTATCCATATTATTATTAAGATCTCTGCACCGTATGAAATAAAATTTTGCATCCGCATCTTCCAGAGTTGTGACACAAATACAAACAGTTGCACCATACGCAGTACAGTCAACTCTTTTGCGATTGGGATAGCACAGCAAGTTCTTTTATTATGATGCAGTACTAATTCGTCGGATGTGAATAAAATGTATTTTATTGTCAATAACTTCATACATGTGGTGGTTTTCCGGCAAGCATTTTTGCCACCCAAAGTATAGCGTATGCATATGGAGTATAACTTTAAGATGGAATGTGCAAATTTTGAGATATTTCAATCACAAAAAGCATCTTCACCTATTACAATCGTTCTTATAGTATCACGGACGCTATGTCTCCCCAATATGAGCTATCAACAGTCTCACACTCTCACTGCCTGCATTATGTTCGCTTCATTGCATATTAATATGATACGTACAATCAATTTAATTGGCTGACCACACCATTATCCAACATCGTATTTATTCAAGGCAAAGAATACGGATCAATTAATCAATACAATTGCTCGCTGACTTGTGCCTTTCCATACAAAGTTCTGGTATCTTCATCTTCCCTGTTTCTCAAAATATTCTTTTGAATCCCTTGGATTTGGCTTGATAGCTTGACTGCCTCTTTTCCAGTTAGCTACGGACAAAAAGTATCGGATGTAAATCAATCACCAATGAATATGTATTAACCGCAGAGCCTACAATGAATGGAATGGTATCTACCTGGGCATACTTCACCATAAGTATTAGCGTGTTGTATTGCTTGAATCAATCGAAGCGTTTCATCAACCGATCGGCCTAATCACATAAATGGTAACGTCTGTATAAGCATTCGTTCAAATTATTGAATCCCCATGTTTGTCTCAACAGAGTCGAAATAGATCATGTTACCAATTTCGGTATCATAGATTTGGGATACTCGAAGCAAGCCCTGGAAAATATATTATGGATTGTGAGTATATGCGCGATCGAATTCACGCCGCAAAAACAGAAATAACCTATGCGCCACTCACTAGATCATCAATTATAAATAAACCTCTACAAAAATATCAATCGTTAACGTTAAATAAACCAACGAGTCACATGTCCAATAATCATTGTCCGTACCGGAATGCGAAGCCTTTTTCTTCAAACAATACTCCGTACGCAGTTGATATCTCTTTCTTTATATCAGATACTGCAAAATCGTAAAGTCGATATAAGAAACCAATAATCAGGAACAAACAAATGGAAAAGCGCGTTAATATTACCGAGTGGAATCCTACACATAAAACACCGGTTAAGAAAACGATCAAGGTAATGCGTTATTATATAATAAATACACAACTAATAACAAATCATCTCGATAATAACCTGATATCACTAATGCCACCTTGGTCGCGGGGTAGATTACTATTATTGCAAATCATTATTAGTAAAAACGATTTAGCCCACTCCCTATTTCACACTGACCAATTACATAAGCACAAAAATGTTCCCATTCTGGCATTACATTGATTGCTAACAATTTCACTTATATAGCTTGTTTACCTCCAGGCCAGATGAGAATACTCAGAGTCAACAGATACGCCAATCACCTCTGCATTCAATTCCTGAAACTCCTCGATCCGATCACTATCAATAAATCGCATGAGAATTCATATAAGAGCCAAATAGTGGACATGTTGATATAACCAACTCACGAAAATGCAGTCAACTCGGTGGGACACACTAGACATGTCAAGAAACAAAGGAGCATTATAATCACGCGTAATTCAGGTATGTTGGTCACGTTTCTATCACTTTATCGAATTCAACAATGTCAAAATTGCTTACCAAATGTGAAGTTAAGTGGGAAAAAGAGCAACACTAAATATTTGTTTGCGAAATCAAGATGAGAAAGATTTCTTATATTTCCGTTAATCACTGCATTGGCTTCCCAAGCTGGAGCAGGATGCTATCGCGAGGACGAGAATGTTAACACACAAAACATTTAGCCGCCTTCGAATAATACCCTCTCTGTCACTGCACGTATCCCCACCTTGATTTTGGCAACACAGTTCGATTTGGGTTTGGGACCTGAAGCACAGCGTCGTTGGCCGATGACATCTGCGTTACTAAATTCGGTTCTGTTCAAAATGCTCCTTGTCACAAAGGGGACACTTGGGCGAGTCACAGCGCGTGATAGTGCTCGTAGTGTGGGATTGAGACGTAGCAAAGACATGTTGATCAGGTAATGAAAGTGTGGGCGCAAAACGGAAAAAGAAAATAGAGATTGATTAATTAATTATCGATCGCACGTGCTTGAAAAGAAATTCTCGTGTTACCAAAAATTTCGCGTGTCAAGTTAGTTATTTTAATAGCATATTAATATTAATATGGTCACATGAGATGTCACGAAGCGTTTTATGGAATTAACGAACAATATCTATTTCCATCTTAAATTCGGTGAGCTGGAATTCTGGTATAGGTTTAAACTCGCTCAGCAGGAGACACGATTGGTTTGGAGACTTGATTTTTTTGTTTCATAAATTATAAAATGTTAAAAGCGTTGTTTGGTGAACGTTCGGCGGTTGATAAAATGGACCGGGATTTTTACTTGAAATAAAAAAGACAAACTGCAAACGATCGCATTGCAAGCGCACTGTCGAGTTCTACGGAATCAGATAACTGTCCACTCAAAAATGCTCGCTACGAACGGCTACTTTATCACAAAGTACCATCTTGCTCATTAAGCAAAAATATTTATCAAGTATACTATGGTAAAACTCTGAGTTAGACTCAGTTTTATTCTACAAAGTACGCGAAAGAAAAACATTATTACTTTCATTCTGCAAGGCCATTCTCGAGGAAAATAACAATCAATTGGAATATAGATAAATAAAGAGGAAAAGTGGAGAGAGCTCGAGTAATGGCACTAATGTACTGTACGTTGTTTGTTTTAAGAAGACCTCGGCAATTAAGTGTATCGACTGTCCCTTGTTTCGCAATTCATATGTAAACCTTAAATTACAAAATAGCATTTTGGGAAAAACATCTCGTCATACCTCCGTGCAATCATGATACGGCGACCTCACCTAAAACCAGTTATCTGCTGAATCCGGGGGCTCATCATCGAAAAATTCAAGGTGCAAATAAGCAACATGTTTATTGAATTAAGCAGCTCATGGCCGATATTACCGAACTTGGTTGAAGCCGAAGCTGAGAATGCAAGCTTCGGAAGGCGTGAAAAAAAACGTACTCCAATAGTTTCATCCTAATAGTATTCCTGAACTGGATAATAATATCGACAATTTGCATTCAATAACGAGAAAGGCTTCGGGATATTATTACTCTCAGCAAATCATATTAATATTCATTAGCCAGGCCTTACGTCACGAGAATTTTCAATCACGTGTTAAATTTTCGTATACACGACCACACACACAGTTCACTCTTCCTCTTTCAACTTAAAACGATCGCTTGTATATGTCTTCTATAAACCAACCAACGATAACTCCACCCCAACCACCCGCTCCACCCAAACGCACAAAGCATGGATTAACATATCAGAACGCGTGTGTTAATGTTGCACTTAATGAAAGACAATATCTGTTTTTGTTTGATGTTGCGGTGAGAGCGTATGGTACTGTCGCCGTACTCAAACTCTTACAGCCATGGTTCGGTGAGTTAACTGACGTAGGAATGACAACACATGTCGCGTCATGGAGATTTTTAAATGTGCAGAATTACTTGCGATTGCTTTTTGTTCGATCATTGACTTTTACTGCAACCACTTTACATTGATTCCGTAGTTAATCACATTTTTTGATATTTGACATACCCTTAAACTTGACTTTTTTTTATTTCAATTTATTCGACTTTCTCACTAGGCAGTCAAAAAGATGAAATATCATTTCCATCTATATTAGTATCATCGGATACGTTAACTGTCTTCGTCCAGCTGTATCTGTTTGGGCTGTTACCGCTGTGGGCAATAAAAAAGGTTTCCATTGATAAATTAGGCAAGTTATAACAATCGGCTGATACTGTGTGATCGATTTATTGCTAACTAATCTAATAATGTATTCGGCTTGTAGTTCGCCCTGATATACCAAAGAATCTTCTATTACATATAAAATCATTCTTTACGTCATTCCATGCTCTTTTGACGATTATCACATACATTATATCTTCGTTTGTCATAACGAAATGTTTTCATCAAATTATTGGGAAAAAACACACAAGAAGCTGGATTATACTTCCTGGCGATGAAAAGTAAGTTAAATGAAAGATAAATAACACAAGACAAGTCGGATTTGATTTCATACGTGAATTTCGACTAATTGTTTACTTTTTTTTTGCAGTTTCTGGTGTCCATCATACAGAAAAGACAAATGTCTGAATGATCCGTCAGTGCTGAACGAATATCGTGCAATTGCTGGGTTTTACAGTATAATATTTGGATTCATTTTCGCATTAAAATATACAATTAATTATGAAAACGAAATCCACTTTTATAAAATAAGAGTAAGTTATCTCAAGCAGATATCATCTGCGTATAGAAAGCAAATTTTATACGAACTTGTGAAGTGTATACATACGCGCATGCATGCATTACTAATGAACGCAAATAACTTTTTTTCTTCACTTTTTGAGCAGACATACTCCTCAACTATCCACTTCCTCTATTCAAACTACCAATCTCTTCTCTCTCCCAGCACGTGGCGTCGCTATGGCAGTCCACTTATTGCCAGACCGCTGCTATATCTTGAATCGAAACATCCCATTGATTACAAGAGATATACGTTTTTATTTTTATTCACTCTTGCATATTGGACATGGCATCTGATATTCTGGAAAACATGGTATCATGGAATAATTAGATGGACACCATGGAGGTGAGCACGGTGATTATATCACGCATTACAACAGAAAGACCATTGTAACTTGGTGCCGGTTGTGAAATATCGTTTCTTGTCGGCACTATCAAGATATGTACTAATCATGACTCTTGCTATCTTCGTAGTAAGGTCGAATACGAATGGATGAAGGCACCATTGTTTGACATCGAGACGTTCAATCGCACACTGTTCAGCGCATTTGCATGTTTAGCTCTGTGGGACACTTTAGACAAGTTATTCTCATTCTATTTCACCAACGTAATCACAAGTTTCTAATAATTAAAGTTTTATTTTCAAATATGGTTATTTTCCATTTCTTATGTCATTTAACTCTTTGCAGAATTATTATAGGTAATATTTGCAAGTGCGCCTTACATGGATCCCAATTCGGTATTAGTTGATGGACTGCGAGCAACAGAGAAACCATATACTCAGGTAATTAATAAGATGGCAAGATGGGTTAATAATTATATATGTTTGTGCTGCCATAAAATTGTTAGACGTAGCGAATGTATTAATTATACTCATTTTCTCTTCAAATAATTTATTGATTCAGCATTTGGCATTCCTAGAGCTCCATTATATAGCGCGTATAGCAACACCGCAGACAATAGCTCGTCGCACTTCAATATTTAAAGATCGCGACTCGTGGGATACAGTATCACGGTCCTGCATGTCTTTTCTGTTCTCGTTCGCTCTTTGTAGTCAAGCCCATCTCATACTTCAAAAGCCAGATGAAAAGAAGAAACCAGACAGACATGAAGAATTGATGAAAATGATACTACCTCCTCATTATGCATCAGAGAGGAAGAAATTCGGAAGGGGGAAGAGATTGTTTTATGACCTAGTTTTTTTACTTTTGAATGAAAGCGTTGACAGGAAGACAAGAAGATTGTGCAGAGATAAGGAACTGGTTGTGTTTGGCGTTGAAGGTGAATGAAAACGCGGATTTATATGTTTCTGCGAGTTAATTAATCTTACTAAGCAATTTTCTAATGGTTTTATCATACCTGTTCCCCACGATACAGCTTTAGCATCACTTACAGCTGCTTCCCTCACGCTAGACCAGTATGGAGTGGTCCAGTCCGATATACCAAAAGTATTTGAATGTCTCATAGACGTGTTGATTAGTCTGGAGAAGTACTCAAATAAACCGCCAGTAGGGTTATGGGATGGTCGTAGCCCTTCCGAAGTACAGTTGAGAGCATTGAACGATATCGTTGGGTTAACTCTTGGTGGGTAAGAGTGAGACGGGAAACAGTTTATGTGATATCGTGCTCCAGCTATTTACACATTGTTTATTTGCCATTTTGTAGTTGTGAAAGATGCGATAAATGAATTGACTATGGCGTTACATGAATATTTGGACACGGTCCGATTACCTCCGCCGCATCATAATAGATTGGAGAAACTGTTAAATGAACATATGTGATCAAAGATAGAATATATACTGATATTAATATTGGCACCAGCATGAGTTGCAGGCCGTTGAGCCGCGTTGAGCAATTATTTCGGTAGCATTTTGGATTCTTTGCAGGTGCAAATAAACAACCGTCATACGTATCAATAGCGTTAACTAAGTGGGTGAAATTATATCGGCGAGAATTTATAAACTCCTCATTTGGTATATTCTGGAATCTCTCATGGCGAAGTAAGAAAGAGGAATGTTGCTCATGATATTGTAAACGTCCATGTCCAGAACAACGATTTCGTGTTATCGTTAACATAGTAAAAATCCGAAAGCTTTGGTGGTCGTCGTATTAATAAATTAAATAATATGATATTATCGAAATATTTATTGACAAGTCCAGTTGAATGGATATGTGAAGGAATGTTGTGTTCAGTTGAATGTTATACACAGTGAAATACATGAATAATAAACAATGATAATGAGCGCACATATGCAAATCTAACATGTTCAATGATTATAAAGTGACCAGCGATCCAATGTCCCTTTTCACCCATAGTTCGTTTGAAACTTCATGCCAATTACCACTGTGACAATACAACGGTGTAATTAATATAATAATGTATGTAATTATCAAATTATGATCAAAATGAAATTAACGCTTACCAAATCAAGAAGATATTTCTTCTCGTCCGTCCATTTCAGCAGCTGCTTTAGTGCATCGGCGTGTGAGATACCATTGTATTCAGACAAAATCGCCGCTAGCGTATCATTCACCGCTTTAGCCATCCCCTTTGCATCTCTGTGAACATGAGTAATGGTTATTTTTGAGCTAGAATTCCATACCCAAGATAATATTCATATAAAATTGCGCATATTAACTTACCCACAAACAAAGACGACTGCGTCCTTGTCATAAATCATCTCGTAGACTTCTTTGGCATGAATCTTGATCAAATCTTGCACATACTTTGGTTTCCCGTTCTCGCCCGCTCCGGGCTCCCTACTTACAGCAACGCTTAATCTGCCTAGTATGCCACGAGAGAGGTATCCTTCTATTTCATTCTTGTATAAAAAATCCTTGGATTTATCCCTACAGCCGTAGAATAACCAACTTTCGCCGTATGAGGAAGAGATGCTTTGAGTCTTTTTGTGTTCGATGTCACCATGGTCGGTTCCATTGGTGTCTACCCCATTATGATCTATGTCTCCAATATCTTTTCTGTTCACATTGGCTATACTCTCCATAGTCTCGTAAAGTATTTTCAATTGACACTCTCTATGTTGAAGGAATCCCAAAAACGGCGCAACCCCCGTTCCAGGTCCAATCATAATGATATTTCTTTTCAAATCCGATGGTACATTAAACTCGTGCGTATTCGGCTTGAGGAATAGCGGTATAGCAACTCGTTCGTCCTTGTTGATTTCAACCCTAACCCCTCTTTCTGTCACTTTCCCCGATAATTCATCTAGCCACGGTGTACACACACCACGCTTACTTACATCAAACTCGTTTGTAAACTCAACTACGTTGAAAGCAAAATGCATAGAACGAGGATGAGCAAGCAAAGAATTGATTGCAGAGTAATAACGCGGTTGCAATGGTAAGAGTACGTCGAGAAGGCGATCGAACGGCGGCTGGCAGGATGGGAAGGTGGCGAGAACGTCTAAAACCGTTGGTAATTGATTACGGAGAGCCGTAAACTGGCCGAGACCTTATGGTGGCGAGGGACGGGGAGGGAAAGAGAAAAATCGAGGGTGAGTGTATAAATGAAAAGGGCAATAGATGTTTGAGTACGGTAATTGGCGCCGAGTCAGTAATAGTTGGCCACATTTCTTACATTGACCTAATCAGTGGATTAACTGTTCATTATACACGTTTAAAAGTCACTTCATATCTCACCTTGCTTACTACACAGGAATAGTAAGGTCTTTTTCTCTTCGGCGTCGACAGCACATTCTGCCAGCATTCTCAACAATGGTTTTCGTATTAATGATGTTAAGTCCAAACCATATCTCAACAGTTCATATAACGATGTTGACTTTGCTTCCTTCAAATGACTTGGAAGATCTATTAATTCAATTGATAACCAAAATGCAAAGTTTGGTTAAGAGTGATGACAAAGCACATATGAACAATATCTTTAATAGCTGCCCTAACCATCTCGAACCACCAGTAACATACCACCATGTTTTGCGACATCGATACTCTGTATCTCGACTTCTTTATGCATTTCATCTTCACCAATTCCAAGCCTATTCAACAGACCGCGAACCAACCCATCGTCGTTGGGCGCTATCACTCCGAATGCATCACCCGGCAAAAATGTAACTGTATCTTTTTCTTCTTCGTCCACTTCAAGTTCTATTTGTAGTGTCCGTTTGACTGCATCAGGATCAGTGAGAAGTGTAGCGGCAGAGAGGTAGGCTTGGAAGATTGGAGATGGCGTTGAAATAAACGATGGTGGAAGAAATTTTGAAGTGTGTTTGCAAGTAGAATGAAAAGTTGTGCGGCAAATGGAGGAGGGAATGCGTGGGATGGCTGTTAGTTGGGTGATTGTCGACAACGTGGAAAGATCGATGGTCAATGGCGTGCCAAGCGAGAAGAGCTTTGGGGTGGTGATGCTTAAAGCTGCTGTAAAGGTCGTAACGGATGAAGTGTCATCTGTGGACATAATTGTCAAATTGTTGGCAGTTTCCTCATTAAGAGTTGTTTCTTTGATGATGAGTGTTGTGGCAGTGGCGCTTGTGGATGTTGTAACAGTTGTAGCAGTCGTAGATGAAACCGCATGATTCATACGGGTCGCATTTGTGTCATCTGTGGGCGTACTTGCGTTATTGTTGGCGACTACGTTTTCAATTGTTGTTTCTTTGGTGGTATTTGTATCCTTGTTTTTTGTTGGCATTGCTTTCATGCTGAAATCATTAGTAGATATAGTTTGCGTTGTTGCAGTCGATGTTCGTTCACATACTTTCTCTAATGCTACCCACAAGTTTGATATCCATGGCTCGACGACTGTTTCTAAGCTTTTAATATGAAAGAAGATTACTTGATCATTTGATCTGGTAACAAAATTGTCTAAAACTCACTATTTCACCATAGTTTACGCTAACTTATTCTTAATACACATTCTCTAGCACTCGTCAACACCTTAAAAAATGTCTAGCTCGACGCTCCTTACCCTGATGCATCGTCAGCCAATCCTTTATCATAGAATGGTCTTCCTCCCAATTCCAAAAATTTCTTCTCAATGCGCTTTGCGGTGTTATTAAAATTAGTATAATTAGTATCGCCTAATCCTTTTGATTAAATTAGACTTCAAGTTAGAGAATACACGCTTTTGACAACATAATCAATTCGCATGCCTTATCCGCTCATCATTGCGAAAAACAGAAAAAACAAATTTCTCTGTTGTATATACATTGTCGATATCATACCAAGAATAGCGAATTGACAATGGGATAAAAATGTCTTTGATTTGATTTTTCTAAGATAACGAAAAAACTTTATTGCATTTTCGGGCGGATCTCCGTCTCCCGTATTGGCAGCCACAACGATCAAAACCTTTGTATGTTCCAGATCAGCCTATGTAGATGTAATGACAGACAAAGAGCCGGTTGATTATGATAATAAGGCTGTGAATAGTACGGCAGCGGTTTTATTTTAGGTTACCTGCTCATAGTCATCGGTTACGTAGCATTCACTCTTGAAACCACGTTGAACAGCCTCCTGATTTATGCTCTTTGCTATCCATTCTGCATTGCCTGTTTGTGAGGCATAGAGAACGACCAATTTATTGCTTTTGTTTATTGTCATATTGCAAATTCTCTCATAAAACTTCTGACAGATCAAGTTTTTATAAGAAATTTTGCGGCCAAATTTTTTGCGCCACAACTGGATGATTAAGCTGCGTCACGTGTAATTCGATATCATACTCGTAATAAACGTGAGTAGTTATTTTAAGTACTTGAACCATATTTTAATGACGAACAGTAAATTATTGTCCAAAAAACTCATTTGGATTGCGGGAGTATCAAGGATACGTAACGGAAGTGCGACGTCAGCTAAGAGAACGAGGAGACGGTGCATTTCTCACTACAGTCCTCTACATACTAGTGGAAACAATTTTATGGTCTTTTATGTATTTTCACAGTGGTTGAGATACTACAATCCATGTATCATCTATTAATCTAACTTGTAAGGGAATCTCCCTTCCTCGCGGGCTTGATCCCATTGATCAGTCTTGATGTCCCAGTAATAATATAGCGAGACGTTAATAACGGGAAAGTATGTGTATAGATAACTGACGAACTGGTACAAAATCATCTCTCAACAACGACTTACCCAAGAAATAGGACACAAGCTGTGATATGCTTTCCAAAACTGCTTGCATGGTTTGTAATTTTCCCCACGAGCATTGATACAGCGATAGTAGTCAACGTAGTTTTGCCAACAGTGACGACTTTGGTTCGTATTGGGAAAACGGGCGTCAAATGTAGCTGTTGTTGGCGGTTATTAGAATATTATTTGACCAAGTTAAGGAAAGTACATTTCATGATAGAGTATGTCGAGAACAAGGACAACAGTAATTGATTATATCATGTCTTACCCGTTTGCAGAATGACGGTTTTCTCGTCAGACCTGTAAGCAATTTATCAATTAATTCCCTGTTGTACTCGAAAAGGCTTTTCCATGCTTTCAATAAACACTTCCGTGTACTAAAGCGACTCACCCTCCAGACATTTTTATCAAAAGATGAAAAAGGGAAAACGAATGACATCTACGATCACATGCGTTTTAATGTGTGACAACTTCGAAATTCACGTCATGTTCTACACATTTTTAGTAACATGACTCTTTGGCTATTAAATATTAACGATCCTGCACATTACCATATCGTGTTCTCTATATTACTGCTAACTTCTTATATTATAAACTTTGCATCGCTATTGATAATGTTACAATGAGTGCAGGTGAGTTAATTCAAACGCAGAGACACAACTTGTCAAATTGAGGCATTTCCATTGAGTAAAATGTATTAATTACAATTAGTTATTATTATATTCAGCTTTCGTCTAAATGTAAACGAATAATGTTAGTTTTGAGATGAAGGGCAGGGCATTTGTAATACAGCGAGCACATTGTTGTGAAGAAAAGTTCTTCGCAATAGTAATGTCAAATAATACAAGACCCCGACTTGGGTTAAAATACGTTCTCGAACCTCCCCAACAAAGGATTGAATTTTTGATTTTAACAATTCAAAGTTGTTGCCTTTAAGAAAACTTGTACGATCGTCAGACTAGTAAGACGACCGTTTCACATCAAACTCGGTCAGCTTTTCATATTATAGCAAGGAGACGTGAACTAAATGTTACCGGACGTCACCTGATACTAGGAGTTGGCTACTATATAAGCTTCTGTGTGCGTATCAGAGCATTATGAGTTACTACAATGTATTGTATAAAAAATGTTGACGAATACGCGGAAAAGTGACTTGTATGGCAATTATTGAAATAACATTTATTTGATTAAGTTTATCAAACTTGAGCATATTCTCCTACGTACGCTCTCTAAGATCGAGATCATATGCAAAAACGTTTACGATACTAACATGTTAAGATTATAGATAAAAAATGATGGTGGTGTTGATTCCGCCTGATAGTAGATACCAGTTGTTTATAATTGCTCTAAGCAAAATCTTCCATAAAAGTTTTTATTAATTTAATGCCAAATTTAATAATAATCTGTTTACCACGTATCGCTAATGATTTTGATGGCTGTATCTGAATTCTTCAAATCACAAGTCCATCTCCATATTTAAGAACATATTAGCTTTATGACTTTTGAGTTGTAGGCTTGTCTTTCCGACAATTCGAACATTCTTGATTACAAATTCTTGTTAGGCACAGACAACGTATAAAATAAATCGCGTAGACATGGACGTTTCATAACCTAAACATAACATGGGAAATCCAGCAGTCTACATTACCCTACAATAAATTACGGGATTTTTTGTCAAATACATATGAAATTTTTAATTTTACCAAAGAGCTTTATTGCGCGTATCCACTATATAAGTCACACCAATTTTTTTTATCGATCTAGTCCCATCTGCAAATCGAAAGGTTTACCCCATGCGATAATCTCAAATGGACAGTTCCTACAAAACTGTTGGTACACCCGTGTGACGTAATACAATAAACGTGGAGTGAAACTTGTTCATTCAAAACATGTCGTTAGTATCAGGTAAGAATCCAGCAATTGACAACTTGATTGAATCCAACTTGAAAAGTGAAAAGACGTACATAAGTTATCTTGGATGGATTCCTTACAAGGAAATCACCAACGTAAAACCTACTCAAATTGACAACGTCTACTTCGCTATTCGCGGGTATGAAGAAATGTTGCTGTTACTTGGAAGAGATGAAGAATGCACACCAGCACTTGTGAGTGAGTTTGCTAGAACATACTCACTTCCAACACGCAAGTACGATGACAATGACAATAACTTTAGACGATATTCCAAATTGCTTAATTATCGCAACTGGCTCATAAAGGGATTCACCAAGTCTAATGACGATAACTATTACATGGTGGCAAATAAACTCTTTTACCATTGTTATTCTCTTTATGGCTTCTGCTCCACATGTGGAATACTCCGATGTAGTCCCGTGTGG